TTGTATCTCCACATTTACGTTATCATTTGAATGGTCCTCCTAGTGCCTCACATTGTCAGGAAATTCCATGTGGCTATATTATTTGTTGCTCTGGTTGTTGAAAAAGACATTGACCTCATGACTTTCGAAAAATACCGGCTTTCACCATCAAACATCACAGATTCTCTGAATGAAGATTCTTCGATTTCTAGAAAAAAGTTTAAATGGTTTAATTTGTTTATTCTGGTTAGCGTATTTTTAGCAAGGTTGCTTACAACGAGATCAGGTTGCTGGCCCCGTACCCAAACCTTTTCCTGGGCTCGGGACTGGCAGTAAATCTAGAAGAGCTACAAGAGGAGTTAATCTTTAACTTCTCATAGCTGTTAAAAATATTTTGAATTTATGAGGAGAGCTAATTGCGAAACATAAATACTCATTCCAAAGAGATTATAACAGCATGTATTAACTATGAGGCAGTGAACAAGCTTGATTTCCATAAACGGCTGAAGATGACTCAGGTATTCGGAATTTAACAACGCTCTAACCAGTAACACCTAATATGAATCGTACCCAGCAAGTGAAATCAAAAGACAGAAGCGAGGGCGTTCATAGATATATTTCATAAGCTATCAATATATTGAGTATCGTCTGATCTAATCTGGCTGGCGATTGTAGTAGATGTTGAGCACGGCGTTCTCACTCGTGATCGGGTGCGGATGCATGACCGAGCGCCTTCAGCTAGGCGACTCCACTAAAACTAATGTGGTCAGCATCCAATGTCGAAAACTTACAGAGCTATTTATTTTGGGGATTTATTTACCGTTACACAGTCTATATGAAGATGTCGTGAACTGCCAAGTGGAGACGATGGTTATTCATAAATACCATGTGAGGTATTATGGGTATTATTACCAAGGCTTGATTTGATAATTTCGAATAAATTGAGCATTGTTATATTGTTATAAACAAATAATACATTTGTAATATCCCAATGAGTAGAAAAAGTAGATGTGTTAATATTCGTGTTGTTCCGTTGTACTATTTAAACTTGGATTAGTTTTAACATGTTTATTTATTTTCTGAAGGAGTGACTTACGCTAAGTCACGAAACGTCAGAAAATCTAAATTTTCTACTCATTGGGATATTACAAATATATTATTTATTTATGTGAGATTTTAGTGAAACAGGTTCATATATACTGATTTTTCAAAAGTTGGAAAGGGTTAGAATGAGGTTGTCTTTATTGGCTTCTAAAGGAAATTCCGATGCTTTACTTGAAGATTGAATAGCTGCATATGCTACGTGCAGTGGAAGGATGAGAATCCAGTCTACAGTAATTCAAGCACAGGATAACCCGGCCTATCTGAAGAGACTAATAATTCCTTGTGATTATCGAGAAGTAGCACATAAGACATTGAATGATCTGCATGCGAAAGTTATAAGTTATCTGATCCAGTCTTCATCATGGAGTTCTCTTTCTTTATCTCCCTTGAATTCTAATGACAAAACTCTTAGAATATGCTGCGATGACAGATTAACACAAAACTCCCTTTTGTTGAGGTAAACATGAATGACGGTGGGAGCAAAAGTTTATTTTAATCGACCCCACGGCTCTAAGGTTTACTTGAAAATTGGCTTATAAGAAGCTTATTTTCAAATCCTCTCAGGGCAATCTTCATCTGTTTAAGGACAACTAACACTCTTTTAGTTTATCCAAAAATATTTGGTTTAAGCTGATCTCCTGACATATTTCTGGAAATGACAAATAATACAGCCAACGAAACCAATCATGTTGAAGTTTATCAAGATGATCTTATTATTCATGGTCCCGATAAGGTAGCTCATTATCAGAGACTTATTACTTCATTTCCTCGCCTCTTGCGACGAATCCATATGGGTGTTCGTTTTGTGTTTCTAGTTTTGAATATCTTGGATACCTGTTTGACAGTTTTAAACCAGATATGAAGTAACTAGCTTGGCTGACAAATTAAGCCGAACAAACTTAGCATATGAACTACACATCCCGACAATCATTACAAGGCAAGCCTATCAATACTCCAGACTGTTTATTAGTGACATACTTACTGGGGCGACGTCCAGATCCCATCAGAGCAACTCGCCGATACTTTGGATGTATACTCAGTGCTATACGAAAGGGTTGGAATGCTAATCCGAAACGTAGATTTTCTATCTATTTTTAAAGTGGTATAAGTTATTCACTACTCCTAATTGTATTTTGTTTGCAAATGATCGTGTTGTCGTTTCTCCTTCACCACGTAAGTCTATGCATGAAGATCTTTTGGGTGCTGAGTGAATTAAACCCCTGGCAAGTCATACATGTTTGTGGCTGAAAACAATACCAGATACACGTCATGCAACAAACAATTGTGGAAGATGACATAAACCAAGAGATCATCGTTCGAGGTGGACTCCATGGACAGTATCGCCTGACAGTGAATTCATATAGATTATTGTGGTCCATTTGTCGGCAAATATTATGCACTTGGTGTCACTGAATCTTTTTTTCAAAATTTCACCAAATTATGACCTAATAATCTGGGCGTTAAGAAAAATTTATGTCACGAAGGGGTACCGAAGGTATTAGTGACGGAGAATGGCTCTGATTTTGCTTCAAACATAGTTACTACCTGATTAAATTATAAATTTTTCAGACACCTGTTCACTGCTTCCAGACACACTTGTTCTAATGACCAGACGGAAATTTTCGTCAAGACACTAGAAGTTGCTACTTATTTTATTCTCAATAATACAAGGTCTGTACCCAATACAGAGCCGGACAGACACATGATAAGCTTAAGGAGGATATGTATAATGGATTCCAGATGACTTGATTTCCAACCAAGCTGCGTAGAAAATAACGCTCGTGAACAACAATGTTTTCCTCTGCATTAGTATACGATTATTACAAATTCCTGAAATGAAACATTCGAATTCGCCCATCTGTTTTTATCAGCCTGAAATTGAATTGATTAACTTCATGAATGGACCAACCCTATTCAAGTAATCCAACAAAAGCTAACTAAAGTATCTGTGTCTGTCTCTCTTTTGAATTGGCACTCGACGATCTATGAATAGAGCAGGACGCGGACAAGTGAACTATTGGCATGCGAAAACCAGAGGGTGACGTTTTTTAACAGGGCCTGAAAGAAAGAGCGATTAAGTCTTTTGTCTCGTGTCGAAGATTACTGTGGTTATGCTCAATATCGTGAGACTTAACTAATTTTTCACTGATACTGTCCGAAGACGGAGCATAAAAAGTATATCGGTCACGCCTGTAAAATTTTCGTGATTCTGCTATACCAGGACAACTTATTACTGCCACGTTATTTCTTGGATTTTTCAAAACTGCATTCGTTGACAATTATTTTGTTTGATCTGGTTGGTAATTACTGCCATCTAAGATGTAGTGTACCTAGTGTAGACCGTGATCATTTTATCAGCTAATGATGTAAAGAGGTTGATTTAAGATACCTATCAGGCTATTTAAGGAGTCCGTTACAATCACAGTCAAATAAAGGGGAACACCAGGACGTTCCGTTCCCAAGCAACTACTCAATGGAGTGTTCATCAGATCATCAACGAACAAACTGTCTTCCCAGTTTCCACTATATTTGGACTGTTCACAAATTTTTAGGGGCATTCAACCAATTAATGATTCCGTTACACTCTGAAACAGTTCTTAGGTGTTAAAGTACTTTTGCTGCTGATTGTGATGATCGAAGTTGTGCACCTGGAAAACGTGAGCTTTCGAAGCTAAGGGTATTGAGTCTGAGTTATTACATGAAGATGACCACTGATATCATGGTGCATACAGATCACGGGTCTCAGGCAGAATGACATGGATATATTGGTTTCAACTGCTATCAAATAAACAAATTTTATTTGAGCTAGTGTAAAAAATGATCGAATGGTCGAACACCTTTGCCTTGTAAACTTATTTAAGTGTCCCATTACTCAAAAATTGCCCTTATGAAGCAGTCACCTCTCTATCTTGATTTAATCCCGCTACAGGTTTGAAGCACTGGAGGGCCTGAAACTGCGCAAAACTTTCTGTATTGACTATTTATTGTCCTCAAATTTATTATCACCCCAACAGCATGGTTTCAGAAAGGGTCACTCTTGTATAATCAACCTGCCGACTGCGATAGATAGACGAACAAGCATCCTTGATCGCAAGGGGAAGGTTGATATCATTTACCTTGATTTCTCGAAAGCTTTTGATAGGGTTAACCATACATGTCATATCAAAAAGCTCAAACAATTGGGTGTCAGACCACTTTTAATTGATTGGCTCATTTCGTATCTGAAAAATCAACATTTTAAGATCAGGGTTAACTTCAGTTTATCTCTGGCTATGGAATGTCCAAGTGGGGTCTCACAGGGCTCAGTACTAGGAACTCTTCTCGATTTATATAAACGATCTTCCACAACAGGTATCGTCAGACTTATTACATTTTGTTGATGACGTGGAACTTTTGTAGGAGAGACGCAACTAAGACGACGGCGAGCCACGAAATCAGTTCGGGGACTCAAATTCAAACCTAACGAAGAGCGTCTCCAATCACTTAACCTTTACTCAGTAGAATACAGATGTCTCAAAGGTGACCCTCTGATGGCTTACAGTGTCCTTAACACTTCTGGACATCTCCTTAAACACCTACTTAAGCTTAAACCCAATATGAACCTAAGGGGTAAGACCCAGAAATTGGAGATGCAACATAGCAGAAAGGACTGTAGACACAACTTCTACTCCTTAAGAATTGTCGAATGCTGGAGTTCGCTGCCGACTGAACTAGTCCAAGCGAATTCCTAGGAGTCCTTTAAGAGGAAACTTGACCTATTCTTAAGGACTAAGGATAACATCTTATTATGACTTACTAATTCCTTTTTTTAAACTATTATCGTTAATAAATCTAGGTTTCTGACTGGAGGTATTGGTGATTCCCTGCAACTAGACACGGAAGCCTGTTAAGCGAAACCTTCTACTCCGTCCACAGCCATTTGAACCATTTGAAGCTCAAGGTCACTCTCCGCATGTTCTCCCTTTTTCTGTCAAGTTAGAGAGCTGTTCTGTCTTCATTCTTCAGTATTCTAAATAATAAATAAAACTCTTTTTTTAACTCTCTCAAACCATTCTTTGTACTTCAAACCACTTACTGTACATTCAGATCACATTCAATATATTTTCGGAACAGATGTCATCGTTACAATATCTGATACTAGCTTACATATTAAATCCCTGGGTAAGCGCTTATTGCCTACTTTGAAGATCACGGATTTAAATGGATCTGACATTCCCAAGTCATACATTTTATGGTGTTGAGTTCCCGGCAGTGGTAAATAATGTAGAGACTGCTATTGAAATGCTTGGTGGACTCAGTCAAATATCTGAGGTATGTTATATTCCAGATGATACTTTCAATGTGTCCACAGCGTTTTGCCACGTAGATGCTTATCTCTATTTGGTTATGATTGTTAATTGCATCAGTGACAAGTTTATGTTCGTAATGCGTCCAACATGAAGTCACTTGCACGTAATAGCCGTCACCAATTAAAATTCTGTTAATATCGCAGCATATAGGATGCTTTACCTTTTCCACGATTTGTTAGCTAAGATTAATCCGTGATCATAGTCGTATTTGTTTCTCGCTTGTCATTTGTACTATTGGTCTACTGTCTTTAAATTCTGTGTTGTTTTCAGGTAACGTTTTATTTTCAAGGTTGGGAAACAAATACATTTACAAATCAAAGTTTTTCAAGACGGAGTTTCGCTGTTTATGCCTTAGTCTGATTACAGAGGTTCACACTGCCTCTTTATTGTCCTCCGTTATTTTAGCTGCCAAGAAATAGCTGCTGTCTAGTATCATATATCCTGTTTGACGGGAGTCTTTACCTTTAAGTTCCACCTTATTACTATACACTTAAAAACGGGTGAGTGGTATGATCAAAAACGCTACTTGCTCGTGAAAGACATTGTGTTGTCTCCACACTTCACTTAAAACCACTCATCACAGTTCTCTTTATGTGGCGATGTCCACACAGCGCTGATGATATTTCATCATCCTCAATATGATAGAATGTGAGGTAACAAGGATAATAGGGAATATCACTCACATCAGCTGTTAGTTCCGAGCTTATGTACAATATATTAGCCTTTCACAACAAGTTTCCAGAGCCCTATCAAATGAACGGATTCCAAACTTGGAATCGATTGGGAAAAGCAATACCAGTAGCTCCTGACTTAGTGCCGTGTTACGAAAGGATGCTGTATAGGAACCATTTAGCCGCATAGGAAGCTGATTTTTTTCCCCGAATTTCCACGTTATTTGCACTTTCAGACGTACATTATTGTTTATGTATTGGTCCTACAGAACAGAAGGATTTTAGGTGTTTTGAAGTTAACTTTGATGATATGTATAGATTCCGTTCTGTATCCACATCATGGCATTTCAATGCTCTATTTATTTGCTACTTGTCTATTGATATTACTTTGGTTTTAATATTTAACACGTTTTCGTCTTTAGTTTTCTAACAACACTATTCTGTTGTGTCTTTTACGGCTATATGTAGAGTATTGTCTATCTTTTTCAGGTATTCGCTGACGAAAAACGTCGTTTAAATCTCTCTTTTCGTCCGCATATGGTGTATTCAAAGCCTGCTTGTGGAGATGGTCGTTCGTCCAACTCATTTATCATACGTATTCAGCGCCTTAGGAATAAGGTCACAGGCGAGCTCAAATTAGTTCCTGTTATTCTGGGGCGCGTAACTCGGGTTTATAAATTCGATGGTATGGATATTGCTTTAAGTGCTTGTTAATTGAATCAGTGGTCTGAACTTTTGTTGTACGTTGGTGTTATCATAGTACAAAGTTCAATCAGCTTATCATTAATTTTAACTCCCCCTTCACCATTGTGCTCAAATCATATGATTCGTAGTATTGTTTAGTTCCTGACTTGCATTATTTTCTTACTCCTATTGATCTGATCATATAGGGTGCATATTTCGGAAAGTCCGTCATAGCATACTAGGACACCATCAATCTTGGTCGAGAAAAAGATAGGTAGGAGTGATTAAGAGTCCTATTCTCTTTCATTTGGTTATTACAAGACACCAAGTTGACTTGAAAAAAGCTCAAAGTTATCCAGCTTGTCCCATCAATTTTTTCGTATGGTTTATTGTTATATCCTGACAAAGAATAAAGGAATGGTGACTGTTAGGAATTATTTATGGACTATTATTATGTATATTTTTATTGGATATTACTAAGTAACCAAACTATATATATTCCTTTCATTTGACTTATTGGCTATTAAGATACAATTCACCATTCTTAACTTATTCCTGATTTATTAGTTACAGTCTCTCACACTCAGCCACTTTTGGCTTGATCTTGTATAATTGTTATTTTCTATTTTATGGTGTGACGGGGTCTAGTTTACTTGTATATTAACTGCAGTGGAAACTGAGATTGTGTTTTGAACTCAACGGGCAGGGCTAGGTCAGGGGAACCAATAAGGACTTAGCGTTGACTGTAGGCTGCTCATGCTGGTTAACGTGTTATTTGTTTGGCACGGGGCCAAGGTCGTATAAGTCGCTGTTCTGATTGGCAGTCTTGTCACGTGATGATTGGTGGGCTGTTGGACATAAAATTTATGAGCTCATTGCTTGCATACTGCAGAAGGGATCGGAATCCATATTCACAAAGCTAACTTTCGTATTCAAAAGATGCTCATACAACCGCTCTCTCTACCTTGACCATCGATGTCTTGTGGATAGCTGGGTTTATTTTTGATTATTCTGTTACCAGTTTAGGTAATCACTTAAATTCATCCTAGGGGTAGTTTCTAATATTAATAAAATTTCTCTATGTTGTTGCCTTACAAAGAAAAGATGGTTATATGATAAATTATCATCCTAAAGGAAATAGCAGTTGATCAGTAGAATAAATGTGTGAAATCGGACAACAATGTATAAATTCATTTGATTACATTTTAATGGTTTAATAAAACTAACTGGTAACATGTTGAACATAATAGATTGGGAAAATGTAAGAAAACCAGTGATATAAGAACAAGATAGTACGAAGGGATTGATGTAAATCCGTCTTCGCACCCGTGATTGAATTTGAGCTAGATTGCCACCCTAAATATATCTCCACACTGACACCAATTCTTACATTTCTTATTTTCTTGGAAATCTTTAAAATTTTACTGTTCTCATCGTTGTATGTTTTGACTCTCCATTTTTCCTCAGAATTATTAGAGGTTATTGCTAGAATTATGATAAGTATCTACATAGCTTCCTATTGTTTTAAGTAGATATCCTTTTTTAGCTTATCAAATATATCTATTTGGCATTCCACGAATTGCACTTCTTCTAGATTACTACCAATGTTGTATTTCCTCATCCTATATTGAAAATTTCGAATATTGATAAACAACTCTAAATATTGATACTTAGGTTAGTAATTTAAACAGGCACAATTTATTGATTGTTTGAGGAACTTCAAATAACGTAAATACAACATTGCAAATTTAGCTTCTATTTTATGTTTTCTATGCGATTAATAATTGATGTATAGGTGAATGCAATGTTATGATTGTTCTTTTGGCATGTTCCCAGATTTTTCAAACTTATTTTCCAGTACTTGTTTTCATATTTCTCATATAACCTGTTTTTTATTACATAATTTAGCTATGGCTGATTTTCAGTTTGGTCCATTTGAGCGTGTTCCGACTACAGATAAAAGTGAAGGATCTAAAGTCATTCCACCTAATTATAAAATATTCTACAATGATCTCATAATCAAGGATCCAACAACAATGATTGATTCTTATTTATCTCGTGATATGCCATTGTATCTACCACCGGTCCTGTTTAGTCGCCAAGATACTCCAATTTTTTACAATTTTGCTCCTCGTTATCGCACGACTGAGTACATTCAACTTGAAGAAAAGAGTCATAAACTGCCAGTTTGTAAGTCAGCTAAAGTTTTTTGATTTTGTTTGAGTATTTTTCAAAGGCATATAAGTTATTTAAATTTAGATGGCTTTGGGTCAGCAGTGCCGACGTTTTATCATGGTTTTGAGTTTCACTTCTCTTAAGTCCGTTTTCTAAGCCATGCATAATCTATAGTTCGCATAACTTTGTTCAGAATCCTGTGAATCGTTACACACCGTATATATTGGATAGGCTCCTAATCTTTTAATTATCGCTAGGCCTTCTATACTGAATATTTTATATTTCCTTTAGTAATTATTGGGATGTTCTCAGTGACTTTTTTCCTACCTCTTTCCATCCGTTTATAGTTTCATTCATTATCCGCGTTTGTTTTAAATAATTATGGTTCCAATCTCTACAGTTCACAGTTTACAATGTAAAATTTTCTGCAAATTATTCAGCACCCCCCAATAATTACTAACAAACTTCAGACACGATCATGTAATAGATTTTTTTTTAACTCTTGGTCACCAATTTCATTCTGTAATCTCCGACAATCTCACAACAGTAAATTGTTCTATTGTTGTATTATTAGCTGAATGAATCAAATAGATGAAACATGCGGATCGATGACTAACAAGATAGTTTAGAGGTTAAGTTAGAAACCTTTGGTAATACCTAATCTAGTCACCAAACGTTTTTGTTACGAATCGATAGCTCCAAAATACTCTTAGATGAGACTTCTTTGAACAATAGATATAAAGTTTTATGTCTTTTCATTTTTAATGTCGGTGGTTTTATTCCAAGATATTTGGCTTTTAACCATTAATCCACAAATTGGAATGCTTATCCACTTCAGTTCATATCTTCTACATCCACTCCCAGCTAGTCCAAAGTTAAGTCATCAGCAGAGAATCTATAGAAAATATCGAAGTAAAATGACCGTTTTGACAACCATTATGTAAAAATACGTTTGCGATATCTTTGTAAAATGAGATAAATAGCATATTCAAACAATGGTGCCGTCTAAGTAACAGTCATTGTCGAACATAATAAAGACTTATAATGCCTTGTATAAAGGCTTTTAGCGATAAGATCAATTTCAAAATTTAAAAATAAATGCTAAACTAGTTTGTAGTACAAATAAGCATAGAGTATCAGTATATTTGTACTAACATATTAGCTATTGGTAGCGTAATCTGAACAACAATACGACTAGAAATATTCTTTTAGTATCTAGTTTATTCTAACCTTTTACCTTTATCTTTTGATATATATATATATATATATATATATATATATATATATATATATATATATATAAACTGATGTTTCCTATCTTAAGCTTCGCTGTTAAGTTATGTATTAATGTAAACCGATACTCGCATTTTCATATTCTTGAATCCAGCTTGATTAAATGTTTGTTAGGTGTATACATGAAAAATTGACCGTGTCTATACACCTTGCATTTGTTTTTGGTATTCTTATTTTATTCACTACTATTTTCTCCATGCTTATTTTGAGTTAATTGTGGTGAGCTGTTTTTCTTGTTATCACTTATAGCAAGAAAGGCCCGACCGACGTTTGGATATCTAGTGAACTTGGATGATGTAACTCCTACTTCTCCTAGGCCTGGAGCGATACAACGAGTAATAAATCTTGGGTTATCTGCTATTCAAGTAAAGGATGAAATTCAAAAAGTGTGTATTATATTTGGTTTTATTGTTTCAATTTGAATTTTGTTGATCAAAGTTGTTATGTTCTCTCGTACAGAGGTTATCTTTGTATTCGCTAGAAATCTTTGGTTTTTGAATGTCAAATATACTTTATCATTATGTTACCGTCACCTAGTTCCATTTTAGCCAGCTTATAAGCAGTTAATAGTCAAACAAAGGTGGTCGATTTATAATTTTAGTTAATGTTAGCTTTAATAATACAATTTAGGATAATCAATTCTTCTAACTTTAATAACTTGTTTTATGTATGGTTTTGTGTTTTGTTTCCTCTATCAGTGCAATTTGATTTTATCATTGTGATCTTGAAAGTTCACTCTAACAAGTTGTTTATGTTCATGCTTATAAAGTAAACTTCAATCATAATCATTGAACTATAATTTAATAATTCAATTAATTTAAAACTTCATGCTTGGATAATTCACTCAATCTGTTTTTGTTGAGCTATAAATATCCTACCTAATAAATAAATGTTTCATTCACCTAGCTCTTCGATGAGCGACCGATTTGGATGCGTCCAGCATTGGCTTACCACATGCCTGGAGATACTCGATTGATTTATTTTACTCAGATACTTCCTTCTGTAGCTTACTATATGATTCGTGGACCATGGAGTCGAGCTTGGATCCGGTATGGTTACGATCCTCGCAAAGATCCCGAAGCTCGCCGTTATCAAGTATGCTTATGAGTTATTTAGTAAAATATGTTTCATTTACATATTCATATATTTCTTCGTAAACTATGCTTTGTTTTGCCAGTTTAAATAGTGTCTTATACGTGGGGTGTTATTTGTAACTTGAATTGCATGATTGTTAAGTCTGTAAGCTAATTAGACATGTATGACATACACAAACGTAGTTCGGTCTAAACTGAATATTTTATTTTAGGGTTGATATTTTTCAATCATTAGTATCTTCACTCAAGAAGTTTGTGTAATTTGCAACAGTTAAACTGACTTTGAAGTTATTTAGTAACTTCTTAATTAAACTTGGGAAGGAATGATTAGTGCACCTACTGTTCTTTGACATCTCATTTTCTCATGCTCTTTACTGTAACTTACTTAACTTTAGCCTTACATCAAACTAATGTACCGAGTTTGTCTAAATGGTGGTTTCGATATCTGCTTCTTTATTACGACTCGGTCATTTTGATACTGTTATATATGCTGTAGTCGTTCAGATAGGATCATTGTCTATCATAGTATGAAGGTAGATAAGTCTATCATTTATTTATTTATTTGAACACATAAATATTGGTACAAGGGGGGCACCAAATATATATGCGCCACACAAAACAATAATAATTTGAAGAGGAGAAAAGAGAAAAAAAAAGTAATGAACGTGGGGAATTATAAAAAAAAAGGGAGAGAGACAGAACAATGGTGGGGGAAACGGAAAGGTACAGTCAGAAGAGATCTTTCAGTTAAGGAAGATACAACCACTTTTTATGAAGAAAGTAAAAGAAGATTACAGCAGGATCGCCACTGGCTTCTATTCTGAGCCATGTCTGATAACGTCTCTAGCCACTGCGTTACACCGTCTCTCGGACCCCAACCAGGGAGTCGTGAAGGACCAACAGAAGCTAGCCCTTTGCAGCTTTCTTTCATACCACGACACCATGTCATATACTGACCACCTCTCCGCTTTTTTCAACCAGTCCCAGAGTCGGCAAATAATGCACGACGTGGAATTATCTGGGACGACATTCATAGAACATGTCCAAGCCACCGAAGTCGGTGTTTCAAGATGGTGACACCAATTTCATTATCGTCTCTGTGACCGAACACTCGATGCCGAACCTCTGCATTACTCACATGGTGTTGCCACTGGATGCCAGCAATCCTTCGGAGACAGCGATGATCGAACACAGAGAGTCGTCTAACATCCTCAACTCGGAGAGGCCAGGTTTCACAAGCATAGAGCAAAACTGCTCTCACCGTCGCGTTGTAGATCCGACATTTTACAGCCAGACTAACATCACGAAGGCGCCAAAGATGGCCTAGATTGGCATAATCCGCTCTGGCTTTCACTATGCGTGAATCGATCTCATCACTCACGCCACCACCAGCACTTATGCAGCTACCTAGATACACGAACTTCTCGACTACTTCAATCTGCTCACCATCCAGAGTGAGTACAGGATTAGGATCCTGCCAGTCTTGTAGAAGAACTTTGCACTTCGAAGGTGCAAAGCACATACCATACCTACGGACACTGATTGCCAACTGATTAAGTGCGGATTGCATGGCTTGGGCATTCTCGCACAGTAAGACAATATGATCCGCATACTGAAGGTCGAGAAATGTTTTTCTAGGCAACAGATTCCACAACTCCATTAAATACATTCATCAGAGCTGTTTCCAGAATGTCATCGATGGCAAAGTTGAAGAGGAATGGTGAGATTGGACAACCCTGCCTAACCCCACTGCTCGAATGGAATAGTGGAGAAAGGTGGTTGTATGCCCTCACTCTGCCTGAGGTGTTTGTGTATAGGGCTTTTAGGATGTTAATAAACTTCTCAGGCACACCCTTCTTCAATAGACAATCCCAGAGAACAGTTCTGTCCAACGAATCGAAGGCAGCCCTGATATCAAGAAACACTATGATTGTTGGCCTTTGATATGTATGGCGGTGTTCTAACACTTGGCGGAGGGTGAAGATATGATCAATACATCCTCGACCAGAACGAAACCCAGCCTGCTCCTCGCGAGTCAATCTTTCTCGGGTTCTGAACAACCTACGAAGTATGACGGAAGCCAATAGCTTGGACGCAATCGGAAGTATACTTATCCCCCGATAGTTGTTACAGGAACAACGTGAACCCTTTTTAAAGATAGGGACAACTATCGACTCATTCCATGACGTTGGTACACTCTCTAGTTCCCAGATCTTTGTAAACAACGTCGTCAGTCCCTTAGTCAAAAAGTCACCACCATCTTTAAAAAGAGCCGGAGGTAAGTCATCTGGGCCCGGCGATTTGTAACGTTTCGAGAGTTGTAGTTCCTTGCGGACTTCCGCCTCATTTGGTGGATCAGTCGTCACCGGCCATGGAGGGCAGGACAGTCTGACCGATGTTGCCGGAGCAGCAGGCCAGTTGAACTGCCCTTCGAAAAATTCTGCCCATCGTCCAAGACGTCGATGGATGTTAGTGACTGGCGTTCCGTCATCCTCGCAGATTGTTTCGCTCACACCAGACTTCTTGCTGCCAGTGGCTCGGATGAGTTGGAAGAGCTTCCGGTAATTACCAGATGCAGCTGCTGCTTCCAACTCACTGGCACGCTCCGACCACCAGGCTTCTCGGTCCTTACGCAAGCTTTGCCCGATTTCAGTACGTAACATCCTTCGTCTGTGGTCAAACTCACGGTCACCCGGAGTAGACCGACGGGCTTCAATCAGTTGTAAGGAACCAGAAGGAACCCAGTGCTTGTAAGCGGGACGTTTCGCAAACCCACAACAGACTGTACCCGCCATTTTCATGGCGTCATGCAATTGCAACCAATGCTCATCTATACTTTTCGGTGGAATGGTAGCTAGCCTAGAAGCTAGCTCGGTTCGGTACTTACTAGCAACAGAAGTTGCAGCCAGCTTGCTAACATCAATCCTTTGCTGGCGGTCACTTCGTTGTCCACTGAAAAGTAAGGTGAGATTGGCGCAGACCAGAGCATGATCGGATTCCAGATAGGTACTCCAAAAGGAGCGGCAGTCTTGTACACAACCGCGCCAGCGGTAGCTGATCGCGATGTGATCAATCTGAGTCCAGGCTTGAGATGCAGAAGGGGGACGCCAGGTGGCACATCGGCGATGACTGTGCCGAAAGTTAGTGCTAGCCAGAAACAGGTTGTGGTCTGTGCATAGCTGCAGTAGACGTTCCCCGTTATCTGTCCTGCGACCAACAAGTCCCCACCGGCCACCTAAACGACTCTCTTCTGTGCCTAGACGTCCGACCTGAGCATTCAAGTCTCCGGCTAGTACTACAATATCTGTCGAACGCACTTTCTGGAGAAAAACAGTTAACTGGTGGTAGAATTCATCCTTGATTGCATCCGGGTTGCAATCTGTCGGGGCATAGGCGGAGATGATGAAAAGACATCGTTTCTCACGCCGATTTCTCCTCACTTTGATGGAACTTTCTAATCTAACAGCACATAACAAACTGTTAATTGGATCCAGTCGATTAGTGCTGCCTCAACTCTAGCGCTTAGTGCGACACCAACGCCAGCAAGACCAGACGAAGATGCCACAGGGTCCCCGTATAAACGCACATAAAACAAGCTTTTTGAAGTGACAGATGGAGAGCGAACTTGTAGTACTTCACCAGAGTCTTGGATACGGGTCTCGGATAGACAACACATATCAATATTAAGACTTTCCAAAGACATAGCCAGCCCTATCTGTTGTCCGACCTGCATAAGTGTGCGAACGTTGAAGGCAGCCAGTTTGAATGGTGCACGTGGTTTCAGAAAAACTGCTTCAGTACTCATATTCGGTAGTAACATACAATTTTCAACCAGGCAGTGACTCGAGAACGTTTAGATAAAGCTGAATTTTCACCATAGGCGAGCTGCTGTTTGAGTCGAAACGGATACAAAAAGTAGAAATAGGAGATAGTGAATAAATGACGTAGTAAATAATAATAATAATAATAATAATAATAATAATAATAATACCAGTCATTTCAGTGTTAGTCGGAGAGAAACGAATGTTTTCTATAAGCAGATAGTTCATCATAGTTTTAGTGTGTGGGCTGAGATACTGCCCGGGTGCCCAGACCGAAGCAGGTGGTTTTCTTAGGGGGCCACACCCCGAGCCTTTGACCTAAAGGTCTAGTCCACAAGGCAGTGGAGCATCGTGAAGAGACGCAGTCCCATGGTAGCCGGTGACCAACGATTGGTTCATACGCCATTTGTTCCCGCAGAATACTGGAGCCCATGTGCACCATTGGTTTGGGGTCCGGTTAAAGCGCCGGAAATTCGCTTTTCGTCCTCTCATTTTTGTAAACAACACCCCCGCCACGAGAAGGCAGTGAGTAGGACTTCCCTGGCAGAGGCTGTATACGCGTGGCCGTGTGAGAGTATTTCGAGAGGGAGGGCGAACCCTCCCCGCTCTCGGCCATACCAGGGCATTTGGGGGCTTGTCTATCACTTAGTACGTGGTAGTATTTACGTAGATATTTCCAGTGATCTATGGTTGTTTTTGTATTAGTTGTTCAGATCTGTGAACATTAGTTTTATCATCTATCTTCCACATCGCTCATTCAGTTTCCTCCTATTGAGCATTTGGTTAATGATTAATATCTGACATAGATTTCCGCAGCTTGCTAGTAAATACACTTCACGAAACAAGTTAATCGTTTTATGGTGGGAGAGATCTTTCTGTAGAAGTCCTCTCACTTCCAAATAAACGGAATTTCATTATGCTTGTAAAACTTTAAAATATTGTTCAGGATATTAGTGATGTCTTTTTAGTCAAACCATCCTGGCTAAGGGCCACAACACCATCAAAAGTATCCGTTCAAGATACGAATTTTTTATACTATTTTGATACACCACCTATTCCTGTTTGACCCTTTAGTTATGTGAAATAAGGTTCACTTTTTTTAAATACCTACCCGGTTTAACCAGTTAGACTAATTGTATATCTTGCAAACATGTATTGTTTATTTTAGGTAATTGATTTTCGAGTACAAGCTTATATGGTTGTACGTAAATTATTATGTCATTCTTCATCAAGGAAACGTATGCTATGCACGGATGCCAATAAACGAGTTTTAGCGGATTGTCGTAAATCTTATGAATCTATAAATTCCAGGGAGGATAGTTTCTTTGACGAAATTTTGAACAGCTCGAAGAAATCTCAAGAAGATAATATCGACCACGATGGAAACGATGAATTAGATCCGACTATCATTGATGATGCTGAGGATGACGATGCTGATGACAGAATACAAAAAAATTTAGGCAAGGTGTGTTTCATATTTTTGCTTGAATGTTTCTTTTAAGAGGGACACGTAAGTATAAAATATGGTTTTTCACTTGCCTTTGCTTAGCGCTGTTTTTTAACGTTAATAATGTAACTCATTCACTACAGGCATATTGATATCGTTGGTTTTAAGTCATACTTTGTGTGAAGGTTAGTTAATACCATCCGGATGCTCGGATTAACATAAGGAATTCAATTTAAAATTACTGGGAACTATTTAGAGCCCGAAATTCTATGCATTTCACTTGATATTGTTGTATTGTACTAAGGTTTAAAGTATAACTCGAAATCTACATTTTAACTCTTATGTATGTAGATGTTTTAAACGCTATTGATGTCAGTCTTTCTTTTTTATTTGTAGTATTACATTTGTAGTTGTCGGATTTTTTTGGTCAGCGAATATTTTATTAGGCTTTAATATGTGATTACTATGCTTTGGATTGATATCATTCAACCGTATATATTTCGTTCGGAGAGGTACCTACTACAGTTTTTATATAACCAAGGCTTTAGGAACTATCCCACCCACTCCCTTGATTTAGCTATCGATCATATGGGATTTGGGAAACGTAAATTTTCTTATGAAATTCTTCAAAATGATGCAGACTAGTTGTAAGGTTGAGAAGGTTTGAAGAAGTATGTTCTGCTGCCGATAAATCGATAATATTTAGTTGCAATCATACTATTTTTAATGTATTTACATTTCAATGTGTCGGAGTTTACTTCATAACTGTTTGCTTTGGTAATGGCTAGCAATGAGACCCACCACTTGGACTTCATATTTAAACTATGGACGGCTTTGTCAGATTACATATATTTTCATCTTAATAGGTATTTTTGTTATTGTTCATTTAACATGTATTTTTTGTGCATTAAACTGGGTCTTCTCATTATCAACAGAAATCAAATGAACTATGAAATGTGATCTACACAATCCCTAATAATTGAATGTTTGGTGGAACAGTAATAATTCATAAGCTGATTTATAGGTCTACCTGAAAACCATGTATAGATAACGAAATTACCAGCCATTTTATACTGATGCGGTAAGATCAACAGTACTCACACTAATATCTTACAGCCGATTCTAATGAAAGTCTGCATTTGAATCAGAGGTATTCTGATTCAAACATCCTTTTATTCATAATTTAAAGGGATCGCAAAATGAACTAGAATATCCTATCTTATACGAAGTTGGAGTCATTGGATTTCGCCTGTTGTGTCTTGGCTTTAGTAAAACAAAGTAATTAACCATCCTCCCGTGATTATCCATTGTCTATTGTTCACCATAGATTGTTTTTCTCGCAAAAAAAGCTTGTTTATGTGGAATTATAACCTTATTTGTTCTTTAAAATTACTGTTATTTAGGTTGCAGATTATCGTTTTGGACCTAATAACTGGCCAACTACACATCAAGTCCGTTATTGTCTCTCAGATATAGAGATCCCTGAGGTACAAGCGATGTTAGAAGAAGTACCTGAGCGAACTGAAATTGATCCAGTAGATGGCTGGCTCCGACCTGGAGGTATCAAAAGAATACGTGATCTTTTAGGGCAATATTTGAAAAAGTGGATATCTGAATCAGACCCAACACATGCAGATAGTGGTGCTGAGTAATAATACTCCATGTTGCATTACCTCTTACTTTAATGTATCATAATTTTGCATTTTGTCCAGAATTTTTTTTCTTTTATTCAAGCAAAGTAATAATCTTTTTTTCATACCGTTGCAACAGTTTTCACTTAACATTATGTACTTGTTTCTATTTTTCTTCTTTGCATAGAGTTTTCTTCTTACCATCCGTATACTTTGTTATACATTTTAATTAGGATATATTCTGTCTCAGTTCAATATCTTTATTTAGTGGTGTAATTTCTGATGGAAATTTACTTTGTTAGTATTGCCTTCACACTTTTTCTCATTGTTCATTATTTTGTAACTGCAAAGGTTCCTGTGTAATTTCCACTGTAAAAAATTATACTTAAATGTGTTTTATTTAAATCGTTTTCTTATATACTTTGTTTGTTTGTATTGTATGGTGATATTAATTGACTAACATGTTATATTGTGTTTAGCGTAATCTTGTCAGCCAAAAGCAAGAAACGTCGGATTATGTTGATAAGCAGTATGGGCTGTACATATATGACTGTCATGACTCAACGGGGTAGTGAACAGTAAATATTCATTAAGATGCAGGTGTATCCAGCTGAAAGAGCAAGAGTCATCAAAACTTGTGCCATTTTTATATCTAAATAATTATAAAAGTTGTATGATATATCAAAGAAAGCTGGAACTAAGTTATAAAATAAGGATTTCATTTATTACTTTTCATGTCACTTTTGTATAGTTTACATATTTTCTGTTAACTAATTTCAAATGTTTGATAGAAGTTCTATATGGTAAAAATTTTACTTTCAATCACAATTTGAGGAAATCCTTAACCAATTACGAATTTAGAATCGCGGACAAATGTTATATGATTTATTTATTTGAACTTTAGATCACAGTTTAAACACGCAATTGACTGTTAACACCGGTTTGGTACTTCAATCTAGACTTCGAGTTACCCTTTAACCTTAAAGGATGTCGTATACAATGAAATGCCACACTGTCGAGATGAGCATTTGTTCCTTTCTCTGACGTAGGACAACCAAGAGTCGAAATAGGTTCTCCTCTAAGCTGATGTTTTATGTCGTCATCATTGCAACCTTATAATAAAGTAATCTTCAGGTTAGAATGTTGTTAATTCGTCGTAAACCATGTTTAAGATAGCCTTTTTAGCTATCTTACATATCCGTAATTTTGAAAAAGGAAAGAGTAAGTAATTATCTGTTGGTTATCTTTTGTTTATTTGAACACACAAATATTGGTGCAAAGGGTCACCAAATACATATGCACCACGCAATAACAATCAGAATTTTGAAGAGATAGTAAGGTGCGTATAAGAAAAAGGGGAACAATAACGAACATAAATTAGTGTATGATAGTGAAATAATAATAATAATGAGACAGTTCAGTTAGCAAAGGTACAGTCAGAAAGAATTCTTCCAGTTAAAGAAGTTACATCCATTTTTTTTATAAAGAAAGCTACAACATGATCGCCACTGGCTTCTATTCTGAGCCATGTCTGATAACGTCTCTTGCCACGGTATTGCACCATCTTTAGGACTCCAACTGGGGAGTCGTGAAGGACCAACAGAAGCTAGCTCTTTGCAGCTTTCTTTCATACCACGACACCATGTCATATACTGACCACTTCTCCGCTTTTTCCAACCAGTCCCAGAGTCAGCAAATAATGCACGACGTGGAATTCTCTGGGACGACATTCATAAAACATCCAAGCCACCGAAGTCGATGTTTCGAGATAGTGACATCAATTGAATTATCATCTCTGTGCCCGAACACACGGTGCCGAACCTCTGCATTACTCACATGGTGTTGCCACTGGATGTCAGCGATCCTTCGTAGACAACGATGATCACACATCCTCAACTCGGAGAGGCCAGGTTTCACAAGCATAGAGCAAAACTGCTCTCACCGACGCGTTATAAACCCGACCTTTTACAGCCAGACTAACATCACGAAGGCGCCAAAGATGGCCCAGATTGGCATAAGCCGCTCTGGCTTTCACTATACGTGCATTGATCTCATCACTCACGCCACCACCAGCACATGTGTAGCTACCTAGATACACGAACTTCTCGACTACTTCAATCTGCTCACTATCCAGGATGAGTACAGGATTAGAATCCTGCCAGTCTTGTAGAAGAACTTTGCACTTCGAAGGTGCAAAGCACATACCATACCTACGGACACTGATTGCCAACTGATTAAGTGCGGATTGCATGGCTTGGGCATTCTCGCACAGTAAGACAATATGATCCGCATACTGAAGGTCGAGAAATGTTTTTCTAGGCAACAGATTCCACAACTCCATTAAATACATTCATCAGAGCTGTTTCCAGAATGTCATCGATGGTAAAGTTGAAGAGGAATGGTGAGATTGGACAACCCTGCCTAACCCCACTGCTCGAATGGAATAGTGGAGAAAGGTGGTTGTATGCCCTCACTCTGCCTGAGGTGTTTGTGTATAGGGCTTTTAGGATGTTAATAAACTTCTCAGGCACACCCTTCTTCAATAGACAATCCCAGAGAACAGTTCTGTCCAACGAATCGAAGGCAGCCCTGATATCAAGAAACACCATGATTGTTGGCCTTTGATATGTATGGCGGTGTTCTAACACTTGGCGGAGGGTGAAGATATGATCAATACATCCTCGACCTGAACGAAACTCTGCCTGCTCCTCGCGGGTTTTGAACAATCTACCTAATATAACGGAGTCTAGGCTTGAGATGGAAAGGGAGGACACCAGGTGACACATCGTTGATGACTGTGCTAGTAGTTATTGCTAGCCAGAAACAGGTTGTGGTCTGCGCACAGTTGCAGTAGATGGTCTCCGTTATCTGATCTGCAACCAACAAATCTCCATCAGCCACATAAACGACTCTTTTGTGCTTGGACGCCCGACCTCAGCATTCAAGTCTCCCGGCTAGTACTGCAGTACCTGTCGAACGCACATTCTGTAAAATAACCGTTAACTGGTGGTTTCTTAACCCCCTGCTTCGGTACGGGCGCCCGGGCATTATCCCAGCCTTCACACAAATCGGATGATTTAGATGGCGCATATCTATTTGGTGTGTCTAAATAAATAAATAATAAATAACTTAGCCCCCGATGCCCTGGTACGGTTGAGGGCAGGAAGAGTTCGCTCTCTCTCTCGAAATGCTCTCACATGGCCACGCGTATTCAGCCACTTCCCGGGAAGTCCTACTCACCGCCTTCTCGTGGCGGGGATGTTGTTTACGAAATCGGGATGACGAAAAGCGAATTTCCGATGCTTTAACCGGGTGGGTAGACACGAAGGGTCCACCTAGAGGAGTTGGAAAACTCTGATACCAAACCAATAGTGCACATGGGCTTCAGTATCCTGAGGGACCAAATAGCGTATGAGCCAATTGTTAATCACAGGCTATCATGGGACTGCATCTCCTGACGTTGCTCCAATGCCTTGTGGATTAGACCCTTAGGTCAAAAGCGTGGGGTGTAGCCTCCTAAAAAAACAACCTGCTTCAGTCTGGGCACGCGGGCAGTACTACAGTCCACACTCAAACCAAATAAAATGACATTTAATAATGGTTATCTTAAATTCTGCTTGACCTTTTGGGGTTTAGAAACCGGAGCTCACCGGAAAGTAAGTAGTGCAAATCATATCCTGGACTAAACCAACTACGGCTCCACTTCATATAGAAAAATTCAGCGAAATCACATTTCCCACAGTTGACTTTCCACTGGAAGATTCAGTTTACAAAAGTAATTAATTGCAGCCATTAAGATTTATCGGAGCGATCCAATTTACCAGCTTTACTTATCCAATTATTCTAGATGCGAAAAACTTCTCATCGGACTCAAACCTTGGGCCAGTAGCCCACGTTCATCTGTATTTGTTTTTTCAAGATGAAGTCCTCGATTCAAGCACGAACCCTTTCGATTGATCCACTGAATGACATATGATCTATAAGTAAGATCACAGGACCATAACCTCAATTCAACCAATGTTACCAAACCATACTAAAGCGAAGTTTTTGTAATCACGTATACACCATGCTCACAAATTAATCAGTGGAAAGCAAAGCGGATTCATTGTCTACCAATCATCTGACGCTTAATCGGAGCTAGCAAGCTAGTTAGTTTTAGACCCGCGCATGTATGTATTTATCCAATTTTCACCTTCATGCTTCTGGAAAGCAAACATTCTCAGTGACTCTCTAAAATAGTCGGATTTCTCGACCTGAATCGAGGATTCGTTCCGGTTGATCGGAAAATATTCGTCATTAAAGATGTCACAAAAAATTAAACAAGCCTTTTCAGAATTCTTTATACCAACAAAGTTGTCTGAGCCAATAGCTTATGACAAACTATTATCGGAGCTGTAGTGTTCTCCTGGGCTACCCAGTTTCCCGATTCTCACCTATTTCTTCGTCTTAAATCTTCTGGAAATCGAACTTTTTGAAACTGATTTTTCAGGGATTGGTCTCTCTAAAAACCTATTCATCTTTTGGAGCACGCAGATGACATATACCTCTTTAGTGATAACGTTGATGAAATAGAGTTATCTCGACGTCTTCCTTAATAGAAGCATGTTTGAGATGAATTGCTTTCCGTCTAAATGCAAAATATCGACTCCAAACTGTTCTGCATCAACTCCTAAACCGGCCGTAGGAAGTGAAATAGTTGAACTCACTCATTGAAATCTGGTTGACACTGGTGGGTTGGTAAGGAGGATGGATTCAGAAAGCGCATCGACGTTTTTGGTTACTTGTAGTATAGATATGATCTCCATCTACCAAGGAAGTGTCGAGTATACTGTGCACCAGTCCACTCTTTTACTCTGTCCTGGAAGTTCTTGTCTGCGGGTGTCTTCGAAACGTTACTTATGTGTCGTGAATCAAATGAATAAACAATGCTATGATTAAATGTAGGATACTAAAAAAGGCGTCAGCTACAAATCTTCATTGAATAAGGTGTCTGTGACATGTTTTACATATGAGTAACTACCCGTTATCTCAAATGTTTAATGTTGATTGGATAAGTAGTAAGCTTTAAAGAAGTCAATTCAGACCAAACCAAGATGTGGCACTAATCCATGAAATCGTTGACTGTCAGTATGATATATATTAGGAGTGCCAAACTACGTGGTTGGAGTGCATATGAACATAATGATTAGTCTTTGAATGATATGGATCAGGATCGGATGCTTGTCCGGATGCATTCATTTTGTATACTCCCTATATCTTGACATGCAATATTCTTTCAGAAATACACTCTTCTTGTCTTTTCTCTTTGAACTATATTCACAATGTCTAGTTTTTTTTCATTAACTTGGATTTCGACTAATTATTGTGTTGATTTGTTTTCCTTTGTTCCTAATGTGCATTCAGTACCGATTTCAAGTGTAAACTGACCAATTAAAAATAAATAGTTAATCTGTTTTAGCTTGAATAATCATCTATACTACTGTGGTGTGTGCTACTGATGTTGACACATATAAGTAGTTTGTATTATCAATCACAAGTGAAATGTCTGGAGGCAGAAAGTTAAAAAGATCGAAGAAAAGAGGACGAGAACAGAGAATGATGGAACAGTAAAGTCTGAGACGATTGATTGACATTTTGCAAATTAAGTATTTACTGTATGGTTCTCAGATTTTACTAAGACGTTCTGTAATTTTGTGTTGAAATACGGTTGATTGTCCCCACTTGTGTTCTCGCTCACTACACTACGATAACTAGATGATATAAGCTTGAATAGTAAGTAGTTGTTTCACTTTGTGCTAGTAAGTTAATTTTCCTACTTTTGTATTTTAAGACAAATATGTTTATGACCTCCCTTAACTCTGATTTTATTTTCTCCTTAGCATTTTACCTTTTACAATGGATTCGGCAAGTAAAGAAAAAATATCATTTAACTCTAAAATCCATTGCGTCTATACATCGGTTGGTATTAATCATTTCTCTGGATGCAGTTCTATCATAGCTGTCAAGTCATCAAATAAGTCAACAGTTGAAACTATATTGGCATTCGGTTCTAGTCACTTTATATGCTTAGCTAGATCCTACTCTTATCTAGATGATGAAATAATTAATTTGAATACAGATTTTTCTCAGGACAATTTTCGTGTTTATCAAACGTTATCTGGTCACAATTCTGATGTGAGATGTGTACGGTGGTTGGACTGTTGTTTTCATAACAAAGGTTCATCACAAGCTTATCAACACGCTATGTGTTTTCTAATGTCGGCTGATAGTTGTGGTCTAGTGATAATTTGGGCCTGTCCAACTGAAAGTTTAAGCTATCCTAATGAAAGAGAAAACTGGCATATAATTAATAAATTCCAGACTCCGAATAACTCCATAATAAATTCAATTGATGGTTACATTTTCCCTTCATCAGAAAATGATTGCTCGTGCTCAGGGACGTTATTCCTGTCAGCTGCAGCGGATACATCAGTTCATAACTGGTCTGTTCATGTTTCACAGAATCTGCTTACAAATAAATCAATTTTATTACCATGTATTTTAATCAGTAATATCACACGAATTCCATCACTTTGTCTGTGTCTCAGACGTTTTTGTTTAAAATATAATTTCCAAACGTCCGATGACAATATTGACGTATCTTGGCTCCATTTTATTGTTCTCGGTCTTGACAACGGACAGACAGAAATATGGTCAGGTCATCTGGTCAATGGTCAAAATGAAAACGTTAAAAGTCTAAACTTCACATTAGGCACTACCATTTCTGGGCATCAAGATTGGACTAGATGTGTTGATGTATGTATTGACCATGAGCTGACATTTCCTGTTGTACTGATTGTTACAGGTGGTCAAGACAATATTGTTCGAATATGGCGTTTATATTATCCAGAAAACGATAACAGTGTAACAAATCCTGGGCATGCAAAGGTATCCAGCTTTTAACAGTTTACTTCTCGATCCTAATTTAATGTAGTGTAATGACGTGGTTATAAGGTTTATTTGTAATTTATAATAAAGTTTCAGCGATAAAAATTCTCAGCTAATGTGAAGTTATTCATCTTGTAAATTAGTAGTTTTTACATTTTCGTCTTTTTAGTATCCCCTATTAATAAATCTTATAAAGGGTCTATAGTTATCATCACATTTTTGTATACCTTTCATTATTTTCATTCCTGTTAAATATCCTGTAAAGTGTGGTTACTCTCTAAGCTATAATGAATATATGATGTACTGCTGCTGATTGATTTTCTTATTGAAAATAGCCTATTTAAAAGTTACTAAATGTATTAAATGAGTATTTTTGTATTGAAATCCAGAAAATTCGAGTAATGCCTTATCATTTATCAAGTAAGTCTAAAGCTGAAAGGATTCTTAAATTATTCAATATCTGTATACATTACAAGTTGGACGGGTGAACTTCATAGAGGTAATCAGCCTAACTTAGATTCCGATAGGACTGTTGTAAGATATATACTCGTCAATTCAGAAGTGATGACTGCTGCATTAAATAAGCAAAAAGTAGTGAGACACTTAAAATATAGTCGTATAAAAAACTTGTATCAACATAGATGTTTGTTGTATAGCAGATTATTTTACACTTCTTGCTATGCTCTATAAGGGAGATAAGTATCTGTGGAATAATTTGAGAATTTTCTCTCTACCCATTAATCCTGCTAATTTCTTTCGTTTAGTTTAAATTCTGATGGTTTACAGAATATATCTGTCAATCTTGAAATATTTCTGAGAAGCTACTTCTCAAATAGACGAAACTTTTACTCAAGATTTAATTTTTTTTAATTTTGCTATGGAAATATCCTAGCGTATACGATATAGCTGGTCAGTTCAAACAATTGGTTCAGCAATGCTTTGCAGGAATTATTGACATTCACGCTTTCAATGTTTACCTATGTTTAAAACAATCTGCTACTGTTTACTAATCAACTTTGTATTTATTATTTATTAAAGGCCAGTAGTCTTCAGCTTCCTGAATGGTTTGCCACTAATAACATTCGTGTGTGCGTAGCGCCAGAAAGTGTCTTAGCCAGCCATGAAAATTGGGTCACTGGTGTTCGCTGGGGACCAACAATAAACGGTTTATTCCCCCCTAATTTGCTTACTTGCAGTATGGATAAATCATTAATCATTTGGCAGCCTCCTAGTGAAAATGCTTTAGATTCATCGGATATGTGCAGTTTATGGAAAGAAAAAGCCCGATTAGGACATTTTGGCGACACCGGATTGAGTCTAATGGACTGTCACTGGTTCCCCAACGACGGTCACAAAGTATTTGTACACACCTTTCAAGTATGTTTGATTTTATCTTATTGATATTCAGAGAGGGATTTTGTGGATATGATAGTAATTTAATAGGTGAGATCATGAGTCATCTACGAAATCTCGCGGGGCGGGATCGTGAATACGCACTGCTGAGGAGTCCCATACTAGGACAAAATGGCCGTTCAGTGCTTCCAGGTTTTGCATGGTGGTCTAGCTTCAGTTGACTCATGAATTCAACTACCAAAAGTTATTGATATTCGTTGTCTTTTCATAAAATTGCATTCTACAATTTCCTGATGTTGTAAGAAGTTTAAATAGATCCAATATTTAGGTCATTCGAAAAGACCAGACGATTTTCATCGATGATATGCTATCATTGCCTCAGGGTTATGTAAATAAAACACTAAGTCCGTTACTGTTATCTTGCTCTCTTTTTTTAAAGACTACTAAAAGTGTTGTCGGATTTCAAAAACTTAGACACGTTTACATTTTTGTGCTATTTGTTGGACATGCTTGTTGGTGTAAGTGAGTAAATGCAACATAGGGTTCGAAAAATTATATTTCATTTGTAACACTCAGAATTTATTGCAACTTTGCCAAAGAATTGAGAAAGTGTTATCATAGTTAGGCGTAATAATGGGGATACGAGGTCTATACTTGTAATGTGTTCAAGGTTTACAAAAAGAAAGCAAACATCAGTGCACTACTGTTGGGTGTTGTGAGTCATTTTAATTAAAATCCATCCCATTTTTCCTGCACGTCCCAATTAAAGTGGCTTATAGACCTCTAGGCAACTCAAACCAACAGTCGGTCGATTTATAGATTGATGATGTATATTGGCTTGGTTATCTCAAGGTTTTTCACAGGCCATTTTTATAACGGCGTCGCTCGCTGGTAATGCTTGAAGAATTTTTCGATCATAAAAAATTATCGTTTTTTGTGTATCTTAAAAAAAGTATGGTTTGCAGCTATTAATTTTATCACAGCTCACTAATACAGTAAACTTAGTCACCCATGAATAGTTGTATACCTTTCAGGTGATTTGTAATTGGTATAAGAAACAGAACACTGTCTACTGTCCAAAACAAAGTCAGTGAAAATGATGGAAACCATTTTCATCGTTGCTGACAGTCAAGTACACATAGGGCACTTGCTGTTTTATAATGTTTATAGTTTTTTCAGGTTAGTCTATTAAATCTATATTTCTTATTTCAATTCATTATAGGCGCATATTTAGCATATATTGATAGGGATGATGTGGTCTAACTAAATTCTTTGATTTTCAATCTATTCTAAAAAAATTTCCTTGTCTATTCAAACACGTAAGACATGTGTAAACCAACACATCTAGAGAATCAGTCATATTACTCACCAAGTGCACTATTTCATGCTGTTATATAAAGACCCTGAAGCTGTGTAAATCAAGTTTTTTTTGAGTTTTTGACTCTCGATAGTGTAATTCAGTTGTCGATTTATTTTGGTTTCATATAATTGTTCTTAGTCTTTCTAACTGACAAACAGTAATGTAGTTGTACTATTTAAACTTGGATTAGTTTTAATTTGGTTATTTATTCTCTGGAGAAGTGACTTACACTAAGTCACGAAACGTCAGAAAATCTAATTTTTCTACTCATTGGGATATTACAAATATATTATTTATTTATAGTAATGTACTTAGGTCATGACTTCCAGTCTATATCTTAGTCACTTCTTTGTATCTAGTTCGATTTGTCTAAAATTGGAAATGAAGCTAACCTTTTGAAATATTTTGTAATCTAGTTTCAGATTTTGTATAATAAAATTTTGTAGGGAAGTATTTCAGTCTGGTGCCAATCTGATAAAGACTTTTGGCTTCCAGCATTGCCGTTAACAGGACATGTCGGACCTGTAGCTGATTTAAGTTGGATGTCAACATTCCCTGAGGAAAATTTTAAAGATTTTGACTCATACACTTATCTTCTAACTGCAGGATTTGATCAAACAGTCCGTTTACATGCATGCCAACCAAACACCAGTAATGAAGAAAAAGGTATGTATATTTCTTTGTGTCATAATGCAATATATCCTTGAATATTGAAAGTGATTTGTTTGTGAGCGTAATAAATGATATAAATTGATATTTTGTTCCTATTAAACTGTGTACTTAAATACTATAAATCCTATGAATTAAGGTGCCAATGTTGTTTACATAAACATCAAACAATGGACGTGTTTAGGCACCATTGAAAGGATTATATCACTAGTAAAATGTTTATTGAGGTTTGCTGAGTACTTTCCAACTATAAAATCTTATCAATAGATTGGTGCTAAATATATTTTTCATTTATAGGTTTTTGAAGATGGGTTTGGTAAAATCAAAGCTGATTTATGCTTTTGGTTTACCATTTTCACCCCTTGTTTTTGTCACACCAGTTATAAATGGCCTTTTATTTTACGTAACTTCACGGTACGGTGTATATGCAATACATTTCTCAGATCAATTCCATCTTATTGCTCTGTCAAAATTCATAAAAGAGACTAATTATTAAGAAAATCAAAAAATTTAATTTTAATCGTATAAATCTACTCGAGTCTGGTGGAAATACTTATAATAACCTTTGGCAGGTTCTAACACCAATACTAAAACAGTTGTCATTTCAAATCTCGATTTCACTTGTTGAAACTAACATATTCTATGAATAATATGTATTTATATTCAGAGAGTAACTCCAAATAATCCATGAATAACCGACTGGTAAATTTTAAAAAGTTAACCACCCAATTTTGAGTGCTTGTTCTCTCATGCTAACTAAAAGTTACCTCTCAGTTCTACATATATGATAATACTATCTTTAAGGATCAAATATGTGGTATACATATATCACGTCAAGATGGTTAATAATAAGTAAATCAAACACAAGTGGCCAAAAATGACTAATTTTCTGATTATCTGTTGTATAGAATATCTGTTTTCCTAGTAACTTATATTTATTGACTAATGAAACTCATTCGTCAAGTACAGATTTGTGTACATGACTTAAAGCTTTCATTTTACTAGGTTTCCCAAACACAATTCAGTCAACCATACGCGAAATAAAACCTAACATATGTGTATGTAGGTTCAAGTTGCCGCATTATTAGCATAACGAGATGAAATCATCAAGGCAAATCCCAGCGGAGTATAGGTAGTGACAGTATTGGCGGCGATAGGAAATATTAGGCACTGAAGGTACTATCCGAACTAAGAAACAGGACCAGAACTTACAGTTCAGTAGTTAGAAGACGAGTTTCTCCATCACAAAGCCACGACTTTGAGCGGCATTCTAGATTTTCACTTGTTCTTTATGTGGTCATTTAAAATATTGGTTTGATATTATCAGGCGTCAGTGGTTTATACTGTTATTTTTTTAAAAATGTCATAATGATGTCAACTCCAAACTAGTTTTCAAAATTTGCTTGTTTCTTCATAGATTTTGGTTGATAAATAGGTTGTGAAATTCATTCTCGATATTACAAAAAATTGGATCTTCTATTAAGCCTTTTTAGCTCTCGTGTTCTTATTCTAATTTTAATCTTATTTTTAATATAATCCAGTGATTATTCACTAGTTTACACGGTTGGGAGTGTGAAGAGTCTACTTCCCTTAATAAGATGGCTTAAGTTGACCACACTTTCATAGTATTTTCCCAGGGGTTTTACTTACTGCTTTCACATGTCAAGAGTGCAAAGCAGGATGCAACTATTGGGATTGGAAAGTCGTGATCGCTAACCAGGTTCTTAAAAAAATGAATAAAGTATGAATCTACTGCAGTAATTGGTTTCAATGCGACTGCATCTGCTGATATTGCTTTACTAAATTCTAGATTAGACATTTAGGGAAAAGGTTCAACTGGCTGTTTCGTAAGAAAAGCACCTGTTTCATTTTGGAAACCTGAATAATATCACAGTTCGCATACAATAAAGTTTAATCATTAGTATACAAAATGAATATAATGATTTACTCACCCTACGGAGCAGTAACCTAATAGTGATGGCGTTCGATTTTCACTCACTAGATCCCCTATTGGAAAACGTTTTCATTTACTCCAATTTAGATAACTGGGTACTTTCATTAGTCTTCATACTCAGGTACCTCTCTCGGAGCACAGATTTTCCTGACCGTTGTTGCTACCTTGACGTGGTGGTCGGGCTTTCCTATCGTGATGAAGCAACTGAGCTATACTGGCTGGAACAACCGTTCCTCAAGGTCCTACCATGCCAGACACGTCGGTTGAAGAGCGGTAAGACTAAAAGCAACAAAACCAAGATCCGAAGGCGAAGTCGTACTGCTGACTGTATAGAGGTGTGACAGCAGTAAGGTGTTTCCTCCAGACAACCAGCATAACAGCGATGCTGCCTTCCCACAAGGAGGGAAGGGGTTAGAAAAGGTCGACCCTAAAAATGCTCACCTCGCCTTGTCACACGGATATCCGTCTCCGGCGTTAAGGTCTCAAAATGTTCGGAGCTAACACAAAAACTACTCATAAAAAGGTCGTGTGTGACCGACCTCAAGCAGCTGTCCCTTGGGCACTGCGGTCACGCTCTCAGGTCACTATGACCACCTCTAATCCAATTTCCTTTTCAGGCACTTCCAGCAGAACCCTTTCACGGTGTGGGCAACCAAGAAGTGATAGCCGCCTTCATACCTCTAACAGCACTCAAGACCACTGTATTCATAATCAACCTACCTCTTCAATTCCTATTATTCCTCCTACATCGACTTTATACACTAAACTTCCTCTTTTAGCTTCCTCCTCAAGTGTCACCATAGCCAACGATTCTAGTGCTCAAAACACTGTCCCAGGTCTACTGAAACCTCGCTCCAAACTACACATTGGAGCCTTCAACGTACGCACACTATGCCAAATCGGTCAGCAGGCTTCCTTGGCTAAAACCTTAGAATCTCGTACGATTGATGTATGTTGTGTCTCCAAAACACGCATACAGGATCCTAGTGTGGTCATTCACTTGACCTCACCTCGGCAAAACGGGGAGCCGACGAGATACACCCTCCGTGTATCTGGCGACCCGATGGCTAGTTCTCGTGGACTTTCAGGTGTAGGCATAGCACTAAGCATGAAGGCGGAACAAGCACTATTAGATTGGATTCCAGTAAACAGTCGTCTATGCGCTGTTCGGCTAAATGGCTCCGTAAGAACTCGAAAGGATAGGGACACACGTCGTTGCCTTTTCCTCGTTTCTGCCTACCCTCCCACTGACTGCAGTTCGGATGAAGTGAAAGATGAATTTTACAGAAAGCTGTCTAAACTTCTTCAGAAAGCTAAACGTTCAGACATAGTACTCGTAGGAGGTGACTTTAATGCCCAGGTAGGTAGCTTAAACGGAACAGAAAAACATTTAGGTAAGTATTTTAGTATTCCGGCACAGCGAACAGATAATGGTGATCGTCTGCTGCAACTGTGCTCAGACAATCGTTTATATTTAGCAAACACAAATTTTAAGCATAAGGAGAGACATCGTCTAACATGGCGACCCCCTGCACCAAACCAACGATGGACTCAAATAGGCCATATTGCCATCAGTCATCGTTGGAGAGGGTCGATAGAAGATTGTCGCTCATCCTGGAGTACCTGCTTGGACTCCGACCATGCCCTAATACGAGCACGCATCTGCTTGCGCCTCACAGGACGCAAAAAAGCCACACAAAAAAGATTCATTAGAACCGAATTGAGTAATGAGAAAACCAAAAGTAGGTTCCAGGAACAACTGAGGTCACACTTAGGTAGTTCTGAAAACGAGGCTGACCCCGATGTTGATTGAAAAGACATACAAGCAGCTGTAGAAACAGCAGTGACATCTACTAGTGATTTAAACCACAGGGTTACAAAGAACCAATGGATTTCTTCAAGGTCTATTGCACTGATAGATTCTCGTAAACTCATCCCATCAGGTTCTGAACACGATGAAGAGCGTAAACAAATCAGATCTAGGTTAAGCAAAAGTCTAAGGAACGACCGTGAGCAGTGGTGGGCAACGAAAGCAAAAGAGATGGAAAAGGCGGCGGCTATAGGGAACACAAGACAACTCTACAGACTAATAAAAGAAACTGGAATTAATAAATCAAGTGTAAGTCAGACTATTTCGGAAAAAGACGACACTCATCTTCTATCAGTTCAGACGTTTAGAACGACGGGCGGAACACTTTAAGGAGCAATTCGGCTGGTCTTCAGCTACTCTACAACTAACCTCTATTCCCAGACAGTGTGAATAGAACATTGAAGTAGGTCCCCCAACTCTAGCTGAAGTTCAATAGGCTATAGCTAATTTGAAATGATGAAGGGCAGCTGGTCCAGATGGATTGACTACATCGGTCTTTAAGGATGGTGGTCCAATTTTAGCGACTAGGTTGACTAATATTTTAGCTAAACTCTGGGAGTTAGACGTAATCCCCTCTGATTGGTCACAATCACTTATCGTCCCAATATATAAGAAAGGGTCAAAATCATCCTGTAACAACCATAGAGGGATTAGTTTGACTAATATAGCATCTAAAATACTAGCCTCGATAATTTTCGGACCCCTAACTAAGACTCGTGAACTGCAAACACGTGAAAATCAGGCTGGCTTCAGACCTGGTCGTGGCTGCATCGACCACATATTCACCATTCATCAGGTTCTAGAACACAGGCATACTTATCGGCGTCCGACAATAATGGTCTTTCTTGATTTAAAAGCAGCGTTTGACTCTGTTGACCGAGAGGTTCTGTGGCAGTGTCTGTCATTGAAAGGCGTACTTCAGAAGTACATGAACCTTGTGAAGGCTCTTTACTCGAACACTACCAGTCGAGTCAGAGCTTATGGCGAACTGTCATCTGCTTTTCCAACCTCAAGTGGCGTCCTCCAAGGCTGTCCACTTTCTCCATTTTTGTTCAACTCCATCATAGATCTACTGATGGAAATAACGCTCTCATCGACTGGATTCTCGGGCATTGGTCTCCTACCAGGAGGTCCACTTATCGACTTAGAATACGCAAATGACATAGTCCTGTTTGGTGAAGACGCTGATGAAATGTAGAGTCTTTTGGTAGCACTGAGCAACAATGCCAGAATGTTTGGGATGCGCTTCTCTTCCTCTAAATGCAAGTTGTTGCTTCAAGACTGGTCTGCCTCAACACCTGAACTAAGGTTAAGGGGTGAAGTAGTCGAACGTGTTGACAACTTCACTTATCTTGGAAGTCGGATCAGCCCTAATGGGTTGGTGTCTGACGAAATCTCAGCACGGATTCGAAAAGCTCGTTTGGCCTTTGCCAACTTACGTCATCTATGGCGCAGGTGAGATATTTGTCTATCAATTAAGGGACGAGTATACTGCGCGGCGGTTCGTTCCGTTCTACTATACGGCTGCGAAACATGGCCTTTAAGAGTAGAATGTACTCGTAAGTTACTAGTATTTGACCACAGGTGCCTTAGAAATATTGCTGGTATCCGCTGGGTTCACCGGGTAAGTAATAGTGAGGTTAGACGCAGGGTATTAGGGAATGATGGTAAATCAGTGGATGAAGTTATGAACCTTCATCGACTGAGATGGTTGGGCCACGTGCTGCGTACGCCTGAACACCGATTACTACGACGCGCAATGCTAACCGGTGTTAGGGATGATTGGAAGAAAGTTAGGGGCGGCCAAACCAAAACGTGGCATCAGTGCTTGAAGTCACTAACTTCTGGTCTGAGCCATGTTGGAAGATTCAGACTGCCTGGTTGGGGTCCGCGTGACTATCGTAACCAATGGTTGGAAACTCTTGGTGACATGGCTCAGAATCGATCACAATGGCGTCTGTGTATACACTCTTTGTCTTCCTTTAAACTAAGAGATTAAAATCACCTCAAATCTTTTTTTCTAGGAACTAATTCTACCTTCCTGTACTATCTCCTTATACACACTCTTTCTTCTATATATTACCACCACTGAATTAACTACTATGAATCCGGTGTTCATCTTGTTGTGCTAATGCGGTATGGCAACTTGGACCGATGCACATGTGTGCCTGGTCCTACGTTGCAGCTGACTGACTGACTGACCGATAGATAAATTAATTGCCATTATAAAAAAAACACAATTTAAAATCAAATACTTTATGTACTTTTGTTTGTTGGTTATTTTTAACACAAAAGTAATTAGTGTTTTAGAATTTTGTTTGAACATTGCCAAGTAAATTTACACTGATCTAATTTATCGTTATTTAGAACTAATTCAAGAATTTTGGTTCGAATTAGCTAGACCACAAATTCATGGTTATGATATGAATGCAATCGCTAGTATTTCACCAATATTTTATGTATCAGCTGGTGATGAAAAAGTTGTTCGTGTATTTACCACTACTAAAGATTTCTTAAACTCTTTTAAAAAACTATACAAATCATCATCAATTTGTTCAAAACTGGATAAAATTCTTGCGGATAGTTTAATACCCACAGGTAAATTGTTACAATTCAGTTTTCTTGAATTATTTTTACTTGTTTCTTTGAGATAAATTCATTTACCAACTATGTTATTTATGTTCATGGTCCGAAGTCACACTATTTGTGTAATATCTAGTCAGTCATATTACTCGGTTAGCCAAACCTAAATAACTGTTGAGAAATTCGAATTTGTAGACTAATGCTTCTAAGTTGAACGTTTTATTTATTAAATCAACCACCTTACATTTTCATTGTAAGTTTATGGAATGTTGTTTGATTAAATTAATTACAGTTTGTGTTGTTAAGTTTAAAAATTTGAATGTGTTAGTTAATATATCAACCGTTGTATGTATTTGTTAGACTGAGATGTAAATTTTGTTAAATTAATATCTTCATTTTGTTCAATTAAAACTTAATCTCTTATGTGTGTGAATTTCTAAACTATTTATTTATCCTGTAAATCTGTACAATAGTGCATATATTAGTTACAAACTGCTAATTCTATCAGTCTAAAACATCTACTGACGTGAGTTTATTCAATAAAATCGCTTTAAATTCAAAATGAACTTTTATTCGAATGTATAAGGTCAAAAAGTGTTAAGTTGGTCGAAATTCACTAGTAACAATGTAGGCAAATTACGTTCAAATCTGTGTTAGTAGACAATTTTTTGATAGGCATAAGTACATTCAAACTGATGGGATCCTTAAACATTATATAGCCTTATTTACCTCAATTGAACCAAAGTTAACAAGGACTTTTTATCCCTGTTTGTTGCAAATAACCGTAATCACCCGAAACAGAAAGCTACAAAATTAACTCTAATTAGAATCCATTACTTAGGCCTAATAAAATATTTTCAATTTAATAAAGTGTACCAATGAGATCAATAACCGGGCTTTTTTCAAATGTATTGATGTTTTGACTGGGAGCTTCACTCTTACAAGTATTCAAGTCAAAATGTAGATTCGTTTCGTGAACGCCACATCTGTCATCGAAGAGAATGAGCTGCAAAGTTCCTACACTGATTAAAAAAAGACTTTGGTTACAAAAAGTTCAAAATGGAAAGTCGTACAGCAAACTATTATTCTTGAATGTGTTGATCTCCACAAATAACATACGAAAAATGGAGATTCAGGTGTATAGTTAATCGACCCACACAGATCAAATTCTTATATACAATCACAGCAACCCAACGGCTCACTATTCAAAAGTGTAAAAGCTCACTGCAACACATCTACGATATGGAGAAACGAAGAAAAACATCTAGTGATTTTTTCGGAAGAACGGCTATTCACGCAATTTTATTTAAAATTGTTTATCAAACACACCAATAGGAAGGAAATCAAATGTGGAAACCAACAAATAGACCTACCCTACCATATATGGATACATCAGAAATTACCATGAGATTACTGAAACAGTTTGAAATAGACGTACCTCCATAATGCAGCAAAACCAATTCAATCAATCTAATACAAACCAAAGGTTAAAATAACAAAACAAAAAAATCCAAACATTTTCGACAAAATAAATTGCCCTAACTGTGAAAAACACTATATTGATCAAAGTAGCCGTCGTGTTCCTTTTCTTATACATGAACCTCAACCAGCTGCCGAACTCCTCGATGTATGTTCACTTATATCAATAAACAAAATGACCTATATTTTTCAATAACAAAAAGTTCTATTCATATTTTATGTTATGCGAAATCTCTTTCTTCATTTGTTTATCATTATCCATTGTGTAATTAATTTTAATTCAGGTGCTGTACAACCACCACTCGGTCTTTCAAATCAAATTGTAGCTAGTCCATCTAACAGTAATGATAATAATGTCATTGACAATCTCGATAATGTTGAAGACAACAGTAATCGCAATGAATATGTCAATAATAAGGAAAAAGAAAATCTGGATAAAGTTGTATGTTTACCTTCAGTTAATTAATATTTGGCTCTATTATTCTGATTTATGATCTTCCTTTCAATTAGTCGTTCTTTTTTATTGTTATTAAATGAAGCTTATATTAATACGATTAAGCTGTCAGCCTCTTTACTATCTAATCTAATCGTCTTCATTTTATAGTTGAGGATTACTATTTTTGTAGCCTGTCAATAGTTAACAGTTAATGTTCCCACTTAAAAATTAACGTTTAATATTCGTAACGTTAGTCAGTCAGAAGCCATCTATATGTGTTTCTCTATTCTAGTGCCTGCTGAAAAGTAGTGTTTTTTTAAACCTAAAATACTCATATTTTTATTAGGTTTTTCTGCTTCATATTTCCATTAATGTGGAAAAAGATTGTCGAATCTATATTTTCGGGCTTAATTTAACTAAAATAACTATTTTTCAAGGACTTTTTAGTTTACTTGTAAACTCAGATAGTAAACGATTAATACAAGTCAAATCGGATGCCTATGACTCCCAAACGTCACTCTTACCGTATATTGGTTACCAGCACTTTAAAACTGTCTGAGCATAGTAAATATAAATTGGCAATATAAATCTTGCCCAATAGTCTGCACTCTATCTTTATGTTAGCTTCAGTGGCGTTTACAATGCGTGATCACCTCGAAAAACAGCGAAATACAAATTTTTAGTTGTATTCACGATATTTTTTAAACATAATTATGAAATATACGTAATCCCTGAACAATACAGTTTCTATACCATACACTGAACAAATTATACTAAAACGCTTGTGCAATCAAATCTACAGTGCGATAAATAGTTTGTTAAAAAATAGAAAACTATTCACTTAACAAAAATAAAAGATATTGGTGACAAGCAGAAATATTTGGTTTACAAGCAATCAACTCAAATGTAGACAGCTAAGCACTACAAATCAATGTGACTTCAACTAAGACCTCGAGTCCTTAGTAAAGCAACATCTAAGACTGTCAGGAAATCATCGTACAATAGCAGAAGCAAAACAAAAGAACGAATAATGTAAATAAAGTAGAGTAATACTAGTCTTACTGAAGCCAAAAACAAATGTTTGTAGACATTATAACCAATAACGTAGCACTTTAGATGAAATAAATTATTATTATCGCATAGGAAGTCAACTGGCGGGATTTCTTCACATACAAAGAATATTATGACTCTTCCTTGTTTTGTGTTACTCTAATATATATCGTAAAATCTCTTTCAACATATGTTTTGATTACTTTCAATTCTACTGATCACAAGTAGTCATTTGAAATGATTCTTTGCAAACTAACCGAATTCTTGCTCTTTCAGTTTGTGTAGAAAATACATATATCAAGATTGTAATATGTTATTTCCCAATAGTTGCAGTCTTAAACCTCAATGGGAAGATACAAGTCAAGCAATACCAAGTGAATTTCCCAATAGTTGCTTAATTCTCTTTTTTCAAATAGATGTCAAAAGTTAATTGTTAGAACTTAATTTAATTATTAGTTAGTATATAAACATCACATATATTTTCTTTTAAATCTTCTTGATGCCTAATTGTTCCAGTTTAAAGAAAAAAAACAAATCAACGTGTATTACTGCAGAGCTCGATGATCATCATTTTGAGGTCCATTAAACGTGGTGTAGCTATATGTAAAAAAATATAACATGAAACGAAAGTAAATAAGAGTTATTTAACATTAGTTTAATTATAAACTAGATTCAATCATCGCTTAGTCAGTTGATTTCAGACTCAGAATACCTATCTAAACGGTAACCAACATATCTCTTATAATATTCATTCCGTTATTTAAACTATATAGATTACTTTGTGTTCTTGCTAATTGCCATAAACTACCACTATGAAATATACTTCTTAAAATTTGAAATTTCAGTGTACATCTAATGAACTTCCTACAGAAGATCGTTTACAACATGCAACACTATGGCCAGAGGTGAAAAAGTTGTATGGTCATCCTTATGAGGTAAGTGGAACGTTTATATCTTACTTCATACTCAGACGGTTATTTAGTGTTGAAGTGAAATTCCCATACTCTTTATAAGTTCTTTCTTAATGTATAAACATTTTCACTTGCTTGTTTGTTAATGAAGCCGAAGAAAAACTCAATAAAATGCAATTGAATCCTTAATTTTAAACCACTTGTTGAACAACAAATTAAAAATTCATTCCTTATATTTACATATGTCAGGTAGTGTATTCGATATGTGTATACAAATAAATACAGATGAGCGGGTAAATTTATTTAAATTACATATGATATACGTTTCTTATTTTACAAATGCGCTTGCTACCTTTAGCGTTTCACTCTTCTAAATCTATGTTCCTATTCTCTTTCTTCTTTGGGTTTTAGATATACTGTTTGGCAGTTCATCCACGCCAATTTCTCGTAGCCTCCGCTTGTACGGCATCAAAACCTGAATATGCCCATATTATATTGTGGGATGGTAATTCTAATTGGCGTATACACCAGGTAACTGTTTATGACTTATTAATCAAGAAGTATTATTATGTTTTATATAACATATGGAGATGAGAAATTTCCTGCCCCACAATACATATTCTTTAGTGTTTGTAATGGTACCTACAATAACGGTTTATTCATTAAACTCTTGGTCTGATTGAAATATGTCAAGTATCCTACGTGAGATGAAATATTATCCGTATTACATATCCTCGAAATGATCATGTAAGATATTTTTGTGCTTAATGTTTGAAACTTAAGTCAGTTAAGTGATCACCTGTTAATAACCGATGTTACGCTTTAAGTTTTAGTACTTATACAATCAAAAGGACTCTCAGATGTCAAGTGGTTGATTACCTACAGCAACAACACATTAAATAATTTATGAGACTGAAGTTTTGGCCAATGCGTCACTACTTATCCTTTCAGACTCAGAAAATTGAAGTTTCGCAACTTTCAGGCTTTTTCCGTATTCATCAAGTAAATGCAATCTCTTTATCGTTAAAGGTGACCTGTTAAGAATTAAAAATCTTTTCGAACCATCATCCAATCTATGTACATGCTGTAGTCTTTTATAATCTTTTACTCTCGACTTGAACTTATGACTTTCTTTTGAAGTCCGTCTAATAAACTTTTTATGTTTATACCTTATTCCTGGTGTTCAACTTATGTTTTTTTAGCGTTTGCAACATCATCAGTTGACGGTTACTCAATTAGCATGGAGTCATGATGGAACTAGGTTATTGGCTGTTTCAAGAGATCGTACATGGAGTTTATGGTCTGAACAACTGATGAATAGCGCGGCAGAAGAAACGAATCACCAACTTCCAAACTACATCCTATCTGCTTATCCCATTAAAGGTCAAAGTCATTCAAGAATAATTTGGACTTGTGCATGGAGTCCAGATGATAAGTGAGTTACTTTCCAGTTTCATATCTTTCTATCTCTTAACTCACCTGAAAATATTGTATTATTAAGAGCTTGTTGAATCATTTATGCTCTTGCCCCTTTTGAATTAATTTTTTGTTTATTTTCTTTTAATTGTTTCGTTTCATACAAGAAGATTCATTAGAATTTCTATGGCTAGATTGAAAATATTCTCTGGTGTTTTGAGAATACAATTATCGTTACGTCATTATTGAAAGAGTATATTGATAAAACTAATGTAATCGCAAATTCCGTTCAATGCAAAAAATTATATTCAATGGTGTAAAACTAGTTCTTCTGTCAAGAACCACAAATTCTCGACCTGAATAATTGTGACAGTTTTAAAATATATTGACAGGAGGGTAATAAAAGCGATCTGAGTAAGCCATCTCCCCCCACACGTCGTACTTAGTTTTTTTAACACAGAATATGTTTTATATTATTGATTCACGCTTGTATGTGATTTATTAATCTGACTTAACAATCAGATGTGATAATCACTTCGTTTAAAACTTATGGATTACTTTTAGTCTCATATTTTCAACGCAATAAAATCATCTGTATCCATGAATTTCGAAACTAAATGAGTTTAGTTTGTATGATAAAAAACTAATTGATTTGTTATAAATTTTCTCAACGTGTTTCCATTGTCATTTGATCGTTAACTCGATTTCATAAATCTGTATTTATTTAATACACTAACGTTTGTGCTCTATTGATCATACATACTATTGCTCTTACTCTTTAAATTTCAAGATACTTTTTCACAGGATCCAGAGACTCATCAATTTATTGCTGGAATGCTACTGTCAAAGTACAGAAATCAACGGACCATCTGCCTCCTGAAGCTCTTCGTCGATTAGATACATATAAAGAACTTGGAAAATCGGTAACAGCCATCGATGTTTGCGAAAGTTTTAACTCAGAATGCTCGTCTAATCTCCATTCGTATCTAATGGCTGTTGGTTTAGAATCCGGTAACATAATATTGCTTAAATTATGTGAAACAGGCTCATCTGAACGCTTTTTCACATGGTCGATTGTTTTAAATTTCCCTCCAGATTGGTGCCATGTTCCAGGCAAAAGGTTACGGCGAATTTCGTTTTCACCACAGAAAAATAATTACCTCAAAACATCAATTAAATACATGGCGACATCTGGTGATGATGGAATAGTTCGAATTTTTAAAATAAACATTAAATTATTATAATGTTGTGTATTTATATTCACTTGAAATAAAACCAGCTTTGATTTTTATTTTCATACTGTATGATTTTAATCCAATAAAGTTTGCTAACTTGACAACTCAATCGTTTGTTTGCTTCATAGGAAAATGCTAGACTCAGCATCTTATTTTATAAAAATTATGTCTAAGTGACCGTTCGGCGAGACTCTAATTTAAGGACGACCTTTGAACAAATTCTAAGTGACCTTGAGAATGTTAGCCAATCAGAAGATAGCTAGTATAAAGTCAAAATATATTAGAAGAAACTGATGGATTACAGTGGATGTACTTGTTTTACATGATTTAAAAACTTGTCAAGGTTTGATAAAGGTTCAGATGTTTTGAAATCATATTGCATACGGTATAAAAAGTCATAAATTCCAAGTACCTGTCGTGTATATTTACGGAAATTCTACTTACCCAATATTCCTTTATACTACGTCCCCTGGTGTATTTTCGCTTTCTCACTACCGTTTCATCTATCTGCACGATACATCCTACTCCTCCGAATGATTGGTGTATACGTGTCATTTTAGTTGCACATATGTCACGGCAGTACTCATACCAGTGAACTGCTGAAGTTCCAGTAACAATTGCAAACGCCGCAGCCAGTGTTACTGGTGTCTTTATTACCCAATTTGCAACTATTATCATGTTTTGCCTCAGTTTCAGTCGCGATCGAGCGAAGAAAGTCCCCGTTCGAGCAGACTTTTTCCTCCAACATGAAGAACAACGAAATATAATCTCACCACGGTGGTCTGCACACTTTACTGCGGTCATTTGATAACCTCAGTCGCACGTACAAGAACTTTTTAGTAGTCCCATATCTTATAGCCTCTCAATAATAACCTTTTCTCTAAAATACGCTGTAAATCGATCGTACGTGAGCATCAGGTGTTAAACTTGGCTCCGTGACCTCGAAATGGCTCAAACGCTTCTGATTGGCTCGTCCTTAAATTAGAGTCTCGCCGAGAAATCTATATACTTTTTGCATCTAGTCACTTTTGATAAACAATGTGCATTAAAACTTCGGTTTCAAAGGTAAATTCGATTAGGACTAATTCCATGTATTGAAATGTTTTTCTTAAATTTTCTTTTCGATGTTTGAATTTGTACTTTTCTAATATAACATGACAAAACTCACGTTATTTTGTTTTATTTTTCTAAGACACTGACGAATTCCATTATTCCTGTAAAGATAGTGTTCATCCAGTACTTTAAGCAAAATTTCATAGGGATCTAAGCAGTCTAGCTCGTTGACCGTATATTCTGGGAATCTCCTCAGCGCTGATGAGTTCGTGGTTGACTAGATTTTCGGATAGATAAAATAATTATTTGACTTCAACCTGTGGCGAGTATTTGATTTGATTTTGTTCCACGGCTGCAAAATATGTCTTAGAAACATTATAAATTTTGTAGACTGAAAGTACTTGCTCATGCCTTGGAAACATCGCTTGCATACGACTAAATCATCAAGGGAATCAGGCTTAAGGTACGAGACTAAAATTTAATAGACTGAGATAGTTAGGATATATGTTATTCAAAGGTGGCTACCTCCTACGTGTAATTGAATTTTAAATCAAACTGGCTACAGCATCAAGAATTATCACTGATTTGTGTAGTAAACAGTGTTGTATGGTACACACCTTATTGTTACGCTCAAAATGCATAACCTATCTTAGGAAACGTTGGATGACATGAATTAGAATACGTTTCAGTGAGACAGTTGTATTCGTTCTGTTCTCGTCTTCATTCTACTGATTTAATATTTGGCAATATGAACTGACTCAGATCCTATTTTGACTGTAACCGCCTTTAGAAAAGGACCAAGAGATGTGAATGAATTAACTTTAGCATCCGGATAAATATGTGCACATGGATACCAGGTTTATACCTAGATATGGTACTGGATATTTCTGTCGTTTCTAAACTTGGTATTGTGATTTCATATTTAAGCAAAATGTTGATTTAGAGTCCTGATCAGTAATAAGAACTGCTCAGCACTCCTTTCTGTTTTCCTCTAAGCCTATGAAAAATACATTGTGGAAGTAGAATGTATACATAGGCTGGAGGATTTTAGCCATAGCTCTCTTCAAAACATTTTTCGCATATGGTATAACAACCGAGTCAGCTATGCTGAGTTTTGGTGTAGAGTGCTGTACAAAGATGGTAAATCAGGTGATAAAGCTGCGGATTTTCACCATTCATGATAGCTGTGATACCCATTACGTATTTTATTACCACCTGATAGCTAGAAAAGGAGTAATTTGAAAAAACTGGAGGTGGCCAAACCGAAACGTAGCATCAGTTTGTGAAGTCATTGACTGTTGGTCCGATTCACGTTGCTGGGCTCAGACTATCTGGTTGGAGTCCACCCGAAGTTCGTGGTCAGTAAGACGTTCAACGACATGGCTCATGATCGATCACAGTTGTTCGGATGTATTCAATATTTATATTTCTTTGTAATAAGTATTTGTATTCCTTCGTTAATATATTCTTTTTTGGACTCTATCTTCAATCTTTAGCCCTTTTGATTATCATTGCCACTGCAATTATTTCGCCTTCTTTGTTATTCATCTTTTGGATCCTATCTCGTTGTACTAATTTGTTTTGAAAACTAGCCGACACTCAATTGTACTAGGTTTGGCGTTGATTATGGCTGAGACCTTCGCAAATATTCTTTCTGTCAGAATCAATGTCAATGATTCATCAGGTGTTTGTATTTCATTGCGATTGGGTCGAATAGTAACATCACCAGGTAATCATAACCTGTAAACATGAATAATCGAAATAGCAAAGTGCTAACGATCCAGTTGGCTCTATTTAAAATCATTTTAAACATAGTACTATGAATCTGCTCTTTTAAACCAATGATTATATTGCGTGAAGTACACAAATTAATATGACTGATAGTTATATGAATGGAAAATTTATGATGTATTTAACTGGTTGCGTAATGATAATAGAAAAATGAGTAAATCTGAATTAGAAATAAGTTCTAAATCTAGGAAATCGATTGGATGAAATTTTCTAATCACAGGTAGTTGGAAGCTGGATTGGTCAAATATTGTTTATATTATGCGGGCAGGATAATGTTCATGATTGCTTCCTTTTGAATATCAACGTACAACATTCTCTGTACTTTATCGATGAAAATAACGTTCAATAATACCATATATTTGGGATGCTTCATAATTTCAATTTAAAAGTATAAAATACTTATCATTATTCAACTCATTCAAAGTGTTGGTTTAGCCATAAAGTGCTCTGAAAGCCTCAAGAATAAGTGCTTCCTGATGGGATAATAAATTACTAGTATCCTTACTCAGTGAAATCATGTTAGTATCTACGTACACTTACCACTGAATCTACAAAATGATCGGATTCAACAAACGATGTGGGAAAATGTCCTATCTTGTATTTATAGTACTTAAGAATTAAAAATAAATTGCATGTTTTATCCAACATCTGCTCCGTCAGTTGCACAACGATCTAGAAGTATGTACATTCCTACTGACAATCATCTACTACTCATCGATTACAAAGTAGATAAATCTGACTAGGAGACGCTAAAATGTCTTAGGATTATAACCAAATTTAATCAATAACAAGACATTCATTCAAACAACCGACAACTCAACTCAAGTAATCAAGCTGAATCCGTAAAGTTTAGAGTTTCATATATTGAAACGGTTCAGTTTTCCGATGATGTACACATCGCATGAGTTAACATGTTTTCAGTTGTAATTAACATTTCCCCTTTTATTTCTTTATCCTTTAAATATTTATTAACACTGGTTCTTTTTCCGCATAAATTTATTTCGTTGACAACTCCTCCTGGACCCCCTTTGCAGCTACTGCTGATCCCAGACCCGGATAAAGGAGGGGGTTCGGGTATGGGGTTAACGACCCCATCCCGTAGAAAACTAACTTGCTAAAAAACGCTGACAAGAAAAAATAACACAAAAATCAAAACATCTTAAACTCCATGACTTCCTAAATTTATGGTATGCAGTAGTTTTGATCAGTGTATGGAGTGTTATATTTACGATGAACCTTCAGGTAAAATTAGATGCAGCTTTAATCAAACGTATTCACTGACTGCTGGTTAGTTCGTATTTAAGTTTATATAACTACAAATAGGATATCATTTATTGTTAAATTTAAAACTGAATCTAAGAAAGATTATATTGTTTTGCATGTTGAAAACAATGAATCTTCTTCATATTGATCATAAATCAAATTTCAATGAATTTATTCTAGTTAATTATTAAGACCTTATTTTGTAAAAAGGTATCCATAAAATTAATCGTCTGCAGTAACATCTTTTGGTCATTAATACATAATTCAAGTGATCTTATTATTAAAGCATGAATTAGATAATACAATGAGAAGACGAAGTTTGTCAGAACTATGCGAACAATCTAGTCATATAATAACTTGTTAGGATCCATTAGTAAAATGAGAAATGATCAAACTAGACAAACTACAAATCAATATCATCTGGGCAGATTCAAACTGAAATGAAAACTGCTTTCAAAAACATAAAACGCTATGGAATTTGCTTATATTTGTGTTTTCAATAAAATTTAGTATTCTCCATAGAACACTTTTACACAACAATACAAAGGCTAATTTAAGAACTATTTAATTGTTCATTCGAAATAAATGTCCGAAAATGGGCAGATGTTTGTTTATATTGTGTTGATATTGTAGCGATTCAGGTGAGTGTAATCTAGATTTAACAAAGACAATGGCAAAAAATATCAATCATTTTCAAGCTTCATTCTAATTTTATTAAATCAATAAAACATTATTTCGAGTAATTTGTCATAACAGAATAAAATAACGTCAACTTTATTTTCTGTAGCAAACTATCAAAATGTAATTGAAAACATTATTATTAACTGCATTGATTACCATAAATAGAAAACTGATTTGTAATAAGTTAATTTAGTAGTTTTACATCTGATTCAAGTGAGGTTAGACAATATTTTAGCTAGTAATCTACCTGTATAAAAGTTCCTCTCATTTTCAGACTGTTTTTAAGAGAACTGAACTTGGCTTTAGCAGACC